TGCAATATAGAGGGAATGAAATAAGCAATCCTAAGAAACAAAGTGAGTAATTTTTCATCACTCTGACAGCCAGTGGTTTTCCCTTGCCACCATTAAGATAGAAGCATCCTGGAAAATATACAAAATGTATTTGGGTTCTAAAAAGTCTATAAGGAGAGTATATTCCACAAACTATTTAGGTTTTCCCCCAATAGATTGAAATAGAAAAGCCAGGACATGACCTAGTGAAGGAAAAAATCCCAGCAGGTAACAGACAGATAAGAAGTATTTACTAAGTGTCATGTGTAAGAGTCTTTGCATTTATTCTTTTTTGTTTTGTTATTGTTTGCTTGTTTTGTTCTTTTTAATGTCTCCTCCAGAAGTTGCGATTCCTCCATTTTAATCTAGAAAAGTCGTCTTCCTGTCTTTCTGAGACCCAATATCTGAAACCAAGTCTGTTTGAGACTCAGAACATGCACTACTGAACCTATGGTTCCCCTGATACTGCTCATGAAAATAGCTAGAAAATTTTCGCCTTTCATCTTTAGGTATGGTCATAATGCAGCACAGTTCACCATACATGTTTGAAATCATCTAACGTACTATAGTGATGTCCTACAGTATTAGTGATAGTAGGAGACACAGATTCCAATCATGGGGATATGTTCTTCTGTTGGTAGGGAGCATATTTGCTAAATACCTGTACAAAAGTAAGGAGGGAGGCTGAGAACAGAATGAAGGAATCCCAGTTGTTCCCCTAGACACCCAGAGACATCTAAAAATCATTATGTTGTAGCATTGAATGTTGTTCAAACCCAGACTCCAACCTTCTGGAAGAGATCAACAGTAGGGCGATTATCTTATGCTGATACTAAGAAGCTGTGTGCAAGTTCAAAGATCTGAGTTGCTAGGATAGAAATAGTGTGTTGCTTCTGGCTATTTGATAATTGTTGTCAGTCCTGCAGATTCATAGTTCTGTTATTTTGAGGGTCTTCATCACTCAGCACAGGGAACTACATGTTTGTTTTGGCAGGTGTTTGGCAGGTGGAACAGTGTTAGGCAGAAGAGGCTTTCTGCAGATTCTGTTGTTTTCTTAAGGCATGCAATGTGATTTGCAGAAACATAAGAGGAAATCTAATAGGCAGCCAGTCCTTGTTGAGGTAAACCAGTTGTCTAAACTTACAGACACTTTTATCATAAATTCCTTAAGACAATTCTATACTTTTCCATTAGCTTCTATGAACTGACTACCTTGCCTCAAAAATAAGTGATCATTTTATGTGCCACACTTTTCTTTTTAAAGGGTCTCTTGGCTTTATAAAATTGAGTCTGTCAATGTACATGGAAAGTTACTTTAATACTGGGAAGCCCTATAATTCTGATAAAGCTTTTACCAGACAGTGTTAAAAGTATGGTGGAAAATGCAATAATAAAATGATAACTTCTTATTGTAAAGCAATGGAAAACTACACGCATACATACATACATACACACACACACACACACAATGAGAAACATTAAACTTTATGTGCTGTGTAAGCTTTATATATAAGCAAGCAAAATCATGGATGCAGGTAATGTACACTTGAGTCATAAAAGAGAATATAAATCAATTATATTTCTAGTCCTGACTCTCCCATGGACTTTAGAGTTTTGAATGGTGGATGAATTTATAAGACTTGATTTGATAGTGCAAGTGTAAAAACCAGTGTCAAACTCCATAGCTTCAAGATGGCTAGTCTACCCAGATAGAAGATTAGTGAGATTAATGAGAAGCTTTGGTTCTGATTAAGTGCACTGTGTGTGTGTGTGTATGTGTGTGTGTGTTTGTGTGTGTGTGCACGTGCATTTAATTTGCAAGTTCTTTATAACATTGTTTTAATAAAATTACATTATTCTTTTTAAAAAAAATCACAGAAATATAAAGGAAACTATCTAATAAAGATTTGAAGATATATGTACATGAAATATATGACCAAGCAATTTTATGGTTTTTTGAGCCAGATATTATGCTTCACAATTCTGATAGCTTCTAACCCTATAATCTCGGGTAAATTAAATTAATGATACATAAATTCTATCTAATGTGAGAATTAAGTTATTTACAAATTATGTGACTTGTAGTAAGCAATGAGTCATACTGTAGCTGTGAAGAATAACTGTTTCATTCAAATCTGAAAGAGCATCAATGTTACAAAAGCAAAAGGATCAATGTTCATAGATGCCACTGTAATTTATCATCTGTGCTTTTACACACACACACACACACACACACACACACACACACATATATATATAAAGTTTGTGTCAAATATTCAATTCTCCATGAGCTCAGACTTTGACCTCTACTTGGCCAGGGAGAAAGAACTCCCCCTGATCCCTTACTTTATGATCATCTGTGTCATTCCTCCTTGGCCTTGGTACATCTTACGATGGCAGCCATGTGCCATGCTTTCTGCCTTCCCTCCCAATTAAACTACAAGCTTTTTGAAGTTGCCCACAATTTATAATTATCTTTATCTTGAGAAAAACCCGAATTTGTAATATATAAACCTACCAAAGTTAGGAGTTAGTGATGAATACAAGTGTATTGTTGTTTTATGTGACATCTACATTAGAAGGACTCCCACTGTCTGTGGAGAAGTTTTATTTATTGTGTTACATAATTGGTATGATATCAGGTTACACTGTATACCACGAAAGAACACAAAAGAACTTTTAACCCATGAAACATGACTTTGCCAGCTATTCGTTTAAGACTCTGGATTCTATATATAAAATATGTGGATTGAATGTGTATATATGTCTATATACATATACACTACATATACATATGGTTTATCTATCTACTTGTATATCTCAAGAAACATTCTCGATTAAATAATGAAGGGAAATCTAAGGGAAAGCATTATTGTCTAAATACTTACAGTGCCTGTGTGGAGCTGAGGTTGGCTGAGATGGCAAAGCAGCCCAGTATAGTAAGAGAGAACAGCAGAGCTTGATATTCAGTTCTAAGGCCAAGAGGAAGCCTGACTTTGCATGCAGGAGACATGAAAGTATCATCTCACTTTAGCCTGGTCTCTAAGGATGGCTAGTATTTTCCAGGAGAACATGAGGAGAAGGGGACTGTAGGCCGTGCCAGTTGTGTTGAAAGGTATATATAGACACTGTCTCTGCCTTTCTGTTGCTCAAGAGAACACACCCTCCTTTCAGGAACCCTGAGTAAGTGAGAAGAGAGTAAGCCAGGTCGTTTTATTGGGTGATTACTTAAGAGTTGTAGAACACTAAGTTCTGGGTGCTAAACAAGTCATGTTTCATTTGCCCGCTACCCAGTGAGCATGAGCTAACGAAGAAGACAAGATGGAAAGGGGTGGTCCTTAACCCATCCACAGCTTCTTTAAAGGGTAGACAGTTGTACCTATCTATACAGGTTCATAGATTACCTGCAATGCTTCCAACTGTTCTGGGAAGAAAGCTGACAGCAGGCACAAGCTTTAGAACATAGATTCCTTTTGTTTCAGTCAGAAGAATTCAAAGGAAGGCAGACTGCCTAGTCTGGCCCCTCTGACGTTTTATGGATGCCTAAGTGCAAAGAGTCTGTGTAACTATGCACTCTTCCTTCACTACAAACAATGAGCAAGGACTCATACAGTTATGAGATGACCTGATATAAGAGACTATTAGGGAGTTAGATTTTAGTATTTGAGTAATTTTGCTAGGAACTTACAAATAACCTATCCACCGATGCAACTCTAAGGCACTGGCATTGATAATTTTGTGTTCCTCTAATGGATTATTGGGAATAGTTTCAAAAAGTTTCATTACAGGGCTAGGGTTAAAATGATCATAATTGGGCTGCCTTATATTATGAGACATGAGATCATAGTGGAAGGTTAATGCATATTTAAAAAAATAAAACATGAGACATTCCATTAAGAGTTGTCTTAATTCACATGGTGTAGTCTCAACCATACATGTCAAGTACAGAATAGTTGAAGTTACAGCTACATTAATGTTAAGATGCTCTGGAGATAGAGTTCTAAAATGAAAAGTTCAGTGATGTGAAGGAAACCCAGATAATAAGGAGTTTGGGCCCTAAATTAATCTGTGTTCATGTCCTTCAGTAATTTATTTCCTGCCCTACGTGATTTTGATGTTAGATATTTTCCCCTCACCTTATATTCGTGATTAACTTCTGTATCTTGGGTGGATGCTGAACATCTGAAGTTACCTAATACTCTTGGAACCAGGGCAAGCTATGTGATTACTTGAGCCACAGTTGCCTCCTCCTACGTATTGTGATCTGGTGTGCCACTCTCATAAGGGTACTAGAGGGACCAAGTGATTGAGGGCTTTGAAAAGGAACCAAGCCATGCCTGATTTGAAGGGAACATCATGTTGGCTGTGTATCACATGTGCATTTGCACACATTAGATGCATGCATTAGGAAAGCAAATCTGTCTTATCAAATAGACACAGGATGCTTTATCTGTGGAAGGAGAGCATTGAAGGTAAGATCTCCCCACAGCACTGCATAAGAATCTTTATGCTGGCAAGTGTGGCTGCAGATGTGAGCTGCTGGCATCCAACTCCCAGAACTTCAGCCCTGCTATCCTGTAGATAGAGAAAAAGAACTTCCTATCCTGCCCCGTGCCAATCACATATTATGAGGACAGTTAGGTGGCAGACGTATTTGTACAAGGATCACTTCCTAAATGTCAATCATAGAGGTTACTTTGGTATCTATTTCTAAGAACTTCTGTTCTATCCTGCCGATGGTCGGCCTTTGTTTTTTCAGATGCTTTTGGACCAACTAGTTAAAAAACATGGACTATATGTGTAATTCTGTAGTAGCACAAGAATACTTCAAAATTTGACACCATCCAGGGCCGTCTTTAATTCATAACTTAACTACATCTATATTGGGAAGAACTGCTCTGTAATAACCAAGATGCTAATGTGTTTAAAGTGAGATATCTGTGAAAACGCCTTGAGTATCAAAACTGTATTCTTCATTTCAGAACATGACGAGTGCCTCACAAACCAACACAATTGTGACGAAAACGCTCTGTGCTTTAACACTGTTGGAGGACACAACTGTGTCTGCAAGCCTGGCTACACTGGGAACGGAACCACGTGCAAAGGTATGGAGATGTTGTGGCAACTCCTCTGCATCACACACAGGACCTGTCTCTTCTCTCCCATCGCTTTGGATCTCTCCTCTGTACGTCACAGACAGGGCATTGCATGAGTGCTTCAGAGCACTGGTACATGGCTCCTCACCCTCCCATCAGCTCCTGGTGCCCTCCTCGGCCGTGTCAGCAGCTGAGTAGCCAGGTTGTCCTACACTTCTCTTCTGTGACCTGAGCCACAGCATTTAGTTCTCTCTCTCTCTCTCTCCCTCTCTCTCTCTCTCTCTCTCTCTCTCTCCATCCAGAGCCACACCCTGGGCATTTATATCACAAGCTACTCTATCTTTGAAAATCACAAGCCTCTTCACCCCAATTTCCTCTCTCTCTAATTTGCAAACTCTGATTCTTGTTCTAAAGCACTCTTCAGCTTCTTTGGATTTTTCTATTTATCACGTTCACCAGTTTCATTTTGTTTGGGGGTCCAAACATGAATATTTCGTGATAGCGATTTTTCTGGATGTGAGAGCTACTCACGTGTAACTCTATGTTAATCCACCCTGAAATACCACCCCATCTCAATTTTTGTCACCGTGAGATTAATATTACCTGTGCACACCGGTTCTGTGTGTGTTGTAGTTTCTTGTGTTTTTGCTGGTTTGTCAGTGCCAGGTGACAATTTCCTTAAATGTCCGCCTCCATTTTATTTGTCATAGGTGGACATTCCAGCTGTGTATTTGTCCTTTATTAACTCTCTTTCCCTCCAAGTCTTCTTCCTCAGGGGACCTTACGCCCTTCTTCACATGGGACACGTGAAACTACAAAATCCTATATAGGATAGAGTTCATATTACTTAGTGTCAGTTAATTTGTATAATGTAGACATTTCAGGTTTCAAAGCTGTTTACCTTTCAAATATATGGTATCCTCTGCCTTGGCATTCAGTAGAGGAGACTTACTGTGCTCAGATGTCTGTGAGAAGACCAGAGTCAGAGCAGTGTGGGTCACAAGGCCTGGGCTGTAGTGCACTGTCTGTTGCACTGGTTTTCAAAATGTGGTGGATTTTCATGTAGATCATCATAAGAAGTTCTACTCATTTCAGCATCCAAATCTCACAAGCATTTGCCTGGAAAAAATAAGCCAATAACATAACTAAACTCGTACAATTTCCTTCTAAATATCTGGTTTGGCTTTGTTGACCTCAGTGTTTCTTTCTCTTATCTCTGTTTGGTACTGATTTCTGTCTGATATGAAAACCAGGTCATGAAGTATAAGTAACTCAGGAAACTATACACAGATGCCAACAGATTCACACTCGCACACGGATGGAAGAACACTTGTAAGAAAGTTTAAAATCCCTCTGGAAGTTAGAACTACACGTTTTCTGAATTACAACATTCAGCTTCCTATTGAGGATGGGACAGGAGTTAGACATGAAAGTGTAACTGGGCCCTAAGTTCTGTGCTGCTGTCAACAGGCTTGAGAGTGAGTTAAGGGAAGTCTGGAAATGCTCTGTCGAAGACATTTGTTGCTATTTTGTTATTTATGATGATTAAGCTCCAAATGCATCTAAAATTCCCTCCTGGGTCATGGCTCTATTTTGTTTTGGTTTTGTTTGTCTGTTGTTCTTTGCCTCTTTTCTCCCTATCTTTGTGCATAAGATAGAGACGAACTTAAGGCTTAAAATCAACACAGCCTGCATGGCTTTGGTTCACATCAGAACCAAAAGGAATTTCTACCTTCAGAAAGCACAACCAGCTACTCAGATGATGCTTACACCTTCAAATCTCTAGTTGAACCTTTGGGCCAGTGTCTGCCATGAGCTACTTGCCCACAGACCTGGTCAGGACAGCCATGAGGCAGCGGCAAACTGAGGTGGAGAGAGGAGCTCTCAGAAGTGTGGGCTCACCCACCCTGGTTTTGTTTCCTTCGCTGCTGTTGTGCCTCTTCTCCTCACCTGTGTCAGAGATAGCCTACCCCAAGAAACCATGTTTCCAGAGGTTCCCACCTCAGCCCCTTCCTTCTCAAGGGAAAGCTTGCCCTAAACTCAGTGTTTAGTAGATCAGGCTTCACAGGGTCTCTGCCCTGTCTGACTTCTCCTTAGCAGGCAACTGCTATTCTCCCAGTAGGCCACTGGAGTGAATGGTTCTTGCAGTTGGTGAGTGTGAGTTAGCGGGGCCAGCTCAGAACGTTCGTAAGGATGAGAAACTTCTCTCCTGTTGGAGCACTTTACCCAGTGTGTCGTCGGCCCGGCCTCAGGAGTCCATCATTTCTATCTCCTCCTCTCACTTTCTAGTGAATTGCTTCACCTAAAATGGTTACCACTTTTAAATGTTTATTTTCAAGTGTGATTTTACAAAGGAATGTAATACAAACTGCAATGCATTTCATACAGCATGAGGTTACTGTGTTTTGATATGTTTCAGGCAAGCCATTTCCCTACTATTAAAAACTCATACTGAGTTTGGAAACATTCTCTCCTGTGCACAAACTACTGTCTCATAATGAAATCACAGTGTCCTTCATTCTTAGTTATCACATCTGGAAGGGAGCAAAGCAAAGCTGGGCATAGAGATTACAGAGAGGTTTACTTACAACTCAGTGACAACCGTGTGTCTGATCTATTCATGTGTCTGGATTATTGTAGCTTTCTGCAAGGATGGCTGTAGAAATGGAGGTGCCTGCATTGCTGCCAATGTGTGTGCCTGCCCACAAGGCTTCACCGGACCCAGCTGTGAGACAGGTAGGACTGTCACTTCACCCACAAATATCTTTTTACCCTGGCACATACAGTAACTCAGGAGGAAAATATCACTTTAGGTTTCAAGTGGGCTTTCAAACCGTGGTACTGTTAGTAAGGAAATGCTAGAGGAGAGGGTTGGGGGAGAAACTTCAGTGATGCGTGGTCACTGGCTAGTGGTGTAAAGTCACTCTGAGGAGGTTTTGCAGCTAGTATAACGAGATACATATCGAGCTTTGCCAGAAAGTTGTGTGGGATTGTCTACGATTTCAAGACTTAGTAATTTTTATTGCTCATTCAGAACCCATTTTTACTGGAAATGATGGCTATATTTAAGCAAAGAGTTGAGGGGAATGGCCGTGTTCGACCTTAGGATACACCACAGTCTGCACTTATGCTTGAAATATTAAAATACAGCCCAGTTTCCTTCATTGTTCTTTATTAGAAAATGTTCAAACCATTTATCCACGAGTTATTCATTCAAATACTTGCTGAATTTATTGTTTCTGAGACATACTAGTGATAAAACTCCAAAAACTGTTAAAGACTATGTGGTATGCATGCAGTTTATTTATTTTTTTTAATTGTAATTAATTAATTTATTTTTTCAAATTGTAATTTTTACTTATTCACACAGGGATCATAAACACAAAAAGGCAGGACGTGGGGAAGGGGATGACACTGGAGTGTGGGTGTTCAGGGGAAATACAGATATCTTTCAGAACAGGGTATCGGCTGGGTGAAGGTTCAGGGGACAGGTCACTATGACTCTGCCTATGATTCACTTGTCCTTATCTAAGTTGATATTGTCTGCCAAGGCTACCTATTTACAAGGTCTATGACTTCTCAGGCTGGTAAATTTCCATAAAGGCTGCCTGTTTACAATAGCTTATAGCCATCTGTTTCAATTTTTTTCCACAGAGACCCAAGACTTGGTGTTAATATACATGTATGACAGGCCTATGGCTGATTTTAGGCCTTCAGTGTATAAGCAGGGCTGCCCCTGACATCTCCTCCCTTTTCTAAGTATAGAAGGGCTGTGGCGATTCTAATCTTGGGAAGGCGGGGATAGAGGCCTGACCTCTAGGAATTGAAGGGGGCCTTGTAATGCATGCAGTTTATGACACCACAATAACAGGTTCTGTCAGAAGAAAAGCACGGTAGGGTCATGGCAGATTACTTCAGGAGCTGCCTTAAGTCCCAAGAGAAACATACCACTGGTGATTGCAGTTACATATTATGTCCCTTCTCACAAGTCTCCCTACAGGAGCTGTGCTGTGTGCTGTGCCTCTCTTGCACTTACAGAGTCATGTGCTTTAGTTAAAAAAAAATACTGTCCAATCAGCACGTGAGGCAGACAATGACCCGCTCTACTTGGGAAGTGCTGGAGTATGCAGGCTGTACTAACCAAGTTCTTGCCTTCCTATGTCACCTGTTTCAGATGGGCCTATAAGGCATAGTTTTTAGTCTTCAGTGAATAATTGACTCAGATCCCTGATGTGAAATAGTGACACTTTTATATGTAGGATTCTTTTAAAGACATCATCTCCTACATCTGAATCCCACAAATATATTTTGTATATGAATCAAACTGGCTAACCTTCTAAACATCCGGCTTTTGAGCATTCAATTATCACAGAATTTGCTGGATCAAAATCAGACACCACTGATTCAGCGGTTCTCCAGAATCTTTATCCGCTGATACTTATTTCTCCACCACTATTTCTAGATGTACAAAGGCGCACTGTAAATTTCTGTACGTCAGTGTTTTTCTGATCAGATTTCCCAGGAATAATACTCTGTGCTGGTTCAGGATAAAAGTCTGACTATCAGCCTTTTTTAGACCCTTTCCCTGATGTGAAGAAAAGTCTAGAACTTTGATGAATAAGGGCCAGGTCCAGTCCAGCATATCATCCATCTATTTAAAAGTCACATGATGAGGTGGCAAAATCTGTAATGGCATTATACTAATTTAGCAATGACATACTCAATACTGAAATAGAAATATCTGCCAGAATATTTAGCTTTCTTCAATTATTCCTGAACTTTGAGTCTATGTGCAGACAGTTTCAGGGTGTCTCTAAGTAGCTTTGTGTAGCAACCACGGACTTTGAGTACAGACAGAGGCTGGAAGCTAGCCCTATGGTTTACCTGTGACCTTGACTGCCTATTGTCTGTGCCCTCTATACCTGACCTCAATCTTCACAGTTTTCTCCTGAGGTAGTTATAATCTACATTGGAGTTTTTAAAACTCAGGATCTGACTGATTTAATTTTTTATATCCCTAAAGTCAATTATCAGCTGCAACGAAGATGCTTCTCATCCCAGATTCTTTCTTTCTAAGCAGTGCCTCCCGGTATCTTTGGAAACTTAACTTCAAAGACCCTAAACCCAACATATTATTCCTAATTGGACCAGGCTCGGTTCCTTCCCGTCATGGCTGGTGTTGTAGAAGGTGAGGGCTATCCTCCAGTCTCTACTGAGCATCAGAACACAAGGCACATCATATCACCACTATATTGAATTTTGACCTCGTGATGCAATATTTTATTGCACTCTTATGATAAAGAGCATATTTCCTTATTTTATAATCAATAAGATCCTCGAGGAGTTGACTCTCTCTCTCTGTCTCTCTGTCACTTTATTTTAATTTGTAGATACTAAACTCCACAGTCACAGGGTATCTCCTGTTCACATTGATATCCTTGACTATAGTATATGGTCCACATCTTGGTAGCTATTCTGTATATAAAGGTGTAAATCAATTACCAATTCAATAATGAAGGAAATGGTATACTAACTTTCTTGACAGACCATTTTGCATTTTAGTTTAAAGAGGTCTTTAGGATCACCTGCCTGTCCTTAAACGTCTTAGGTGAAAATTCCTGTTATTTCTTCATCTTTCGCTTTTTTTTTTTACACCATGTTACCTGTTCCAGAATTTAGTGTCCAACAATCTTTCATCAGATCTCTGTTTCTGCTGTGCTCACACCTTCAACTGCGTGTTAATCCTATTAGCTTTAACAATGAGGATTGCAGGGGATTTTCCATCTCTCAGGGTTAAGGAAGGCATCCAGAGAGTGGTGCCTTCCAAGTGCAGACATGGCGGAGCTTTAGCCTGATGGAGCTGGATGCCTGTGAAGGTCGTTGGCATGTCAGTCCAACTGTACTGAGCATGGGCTGGAGTAAAGAATTTCCACCTTTGCTCAAAAATCATCTTAGTGAGCAGGGCATTTACAAGCTATTGTGATTTCACTTGAGAAATTCCTAGAGGTTCCCCTAGAACTTTCTTCCTCCTTTTATTTAATCTGTTTCTGCATTGTGTCTTAGCAGAGATGGTGGAAGCGATTTACTAACTTCGAAAGGGAGTTGTGCGTGCATTCTTTATTGAGCTAAATTAATTTTTCATGGACTTTTTAGCCACTGTACAAAATCACCCACATGAAGAACATAACTTCGTTTTTAATTAAGCATCCAAATATTCTCTGAGATGTTTGACTTGGATTTAGGAGGGTGATTATTCCTTGCATAGCTCAATACAATATGTTAGAAATGTGTGCGCCAAGATTTAACAGCTCCGCCATTGCCATTCTGTATTTATTGCCCATGGCTAAACCTCAGCAAACATGTGTCTAGTGATATGATTAATATGCAAAGCTGTCTTACAGGAAAAGTAAATCTTTCATAGTGATTTAGTACATGACACTAAAAGATCTGACAGTCTCCTACAAGCAACTGCTTTCTTAGATGAAATTAAAATGTTTATAACTGGAAAAGAGTAGGTATCAGTGGCAAATTTAAAAAAATGCAAGATGAAATATCAAAGAGGATACCATGTATTTTGGTGATAAATGGCTCCCTTATTCCTATGTGTAAAATGGAATCAAACGTGCATCAAAACTCGTGATGAAATTTGAGTTATTTTTAGTGAGTGGTTAAATAAACATAAGTTTATGGTGTGTTAGCTTTTTAATATACATAGTTTCAAACAGCAGAAATGAAGCAAAGGCATGAGTGTCAATTTACTTCAAAATAACTTCAAATGGATTAGAGCTGATTGACTTTAAGTTATACATTTTTATATTAATATGTATTAGCAATTATAGCTCTAGTACTAAGTAGATAGTAAAAATCTTTTTTAGTATATAATTATATCCCGATAGAAATATGTATAGCAAGCATTGTTGGTGTTAATCAATCAGTAATAAGGCTTAATTTTCACATTTTCATCATAAATTCCAGATATTTTTAATCTTATAATTTTATAAGACCTTTTACCTTTTTAAGGTGAATCTTGCAGAAGCTTGTATTGTGTCACTTTACATGGGAAGGCTAAAAACATATTTAAAAACAGGAGAAAATCTGCAAACACATACTTTTTTACCTTTTTTTTGCATTTACTTAACAAAATTACACATGGTAGAATTGTATTACCCCCAAATTCCATAAGATTATAAAAAAAAATAGGGGCAGTGTGGTGCAGTAGTCATTTGATTTGTGTTTCCTATATGAAGACCTGGGTTCTGTCCTGCCTTCCCCAGTGCTGGAGTAACGAATGGCAACAGAAACCATCTCACCAAAACCTTCCACCTGTAGCACTTGTATGCATTAACTTGGATACTTAAATATACACATTCTTTATGTAGCAGTCCTTGGACTCTTTTAAGTTAGGTACGAAGGCCTGAGTGTTATGTGGAAGTGTGATCTTCCTCGCTGTATTTAACCCAGGGTTCAAGAACATGAAAGTCAAAGCCGGAGAAACATCAGTTCAAGTCCTGACTCTCATCCACCAGCCCTGTGATTTTTTTTCATGCTATTTCATTTTTCCATGCCTTAATTTGTGCAGAACAATAGTACCTTCCACCTTATTCTAGAGATGAAAGGAAACAGCCAAGGCAGCATGATAGTTAAGATTTGACAAGTACTGGTTTGGTGGTATTTGATATGATTATTGAGGTTTGGGAAAACCCTTGAGTTATCTGGATGCCCAGGAATGCTGTCAA